GCTGAACCGATTCGACGTTATCGTCGGTGTATAGCGTCTGGCAAACCGCATAATGTCGCTTGTAAAACCGCAGCGATCGGCCCAGCAAACGACCAACAGTACTTCAACCTGCCTTGGCCTTTATCCGTGATTTGAATCAGAATCATCTCTACTTCCGCTGCTATCCATCCGCATTGGTGGCGCCAAGTGCGATTGAAGACGTGGCTTCGCCTCGTGCTGTGCGCCGCCAAGTTCCACTCAAGTCTCCTCGCAGCCAGCGTAAGAAGCCGACAAGCAGAGCAATGTTCATCGCGACGAACATCTCGGCCAATCGGATTACCGCCCACGACTTGCCGAGAGAGGTGAATCTCGGTCCGACAATCGCCGCCGAATAGAACAGCACCTGCACGATTAAAAGAACTGCATAGAAAGGTCGTGAAGCCAGCCAGAGGTTGCTCACGAACGCCAGGATCATCAAGTGGGGAGTCACCCAGCGCAGGAGCTTGTGCGAGAAGAATGCGAGGCAAGTCCAACCGCGCGTCGGGCTGAGCACAGGCCATAGCCATTCGAGGGATTGGAAGTTGCCAGCCCCGATCCGGCAGCGACGACGGAACTCGGCCCTTAGGTCGTGGGCCGCCTCTTCAGTCGCCACGGCGTTGGAAGCATACACGAGACGGCCACCGTGGCGAAGCTTAGCCATCAACGGCCCAACAAGGTCATCAATGATCGTGTTGCTAGGCAGCGGGACAAAGTGCTCCTTGCGAATAGCGTAGATGGCGCCGTTAGCTCCTAGCACCGCGCCAAGCTGACCCTCGGCTTTCTTGATGCTTGTCTCATAACGCCAATAGACCCCATCGGCATTGGCGGTGTTCTTGTCATCCACCAGCATCAATCGCCCGCAGACACCGAGGACACCCGGCGCCAGAAGGATCGCGACAAGATGACGGATCGCATCCGGGTGGAAATAGGTATTTGCGTCGGAGAAGACTAGCACCTCACCTGTCGCCTCTGGACAAACGCGGTTAAGAACCGATGCCTTTCCTCCCCGTTCCTCGAACGCCAACAGGCGCACTCGCGAATCCTCGCAATCGGCGACAATCTCATTCGTTCTATCGGTGCTGCTATCCGAGCCGACAAGCATCTCGAACCGATTGAACGGGTAGTCCGTCTCCAAGGCGTTCTTGATACGCTGGTCAATCACGGCCTCTTCGTTATGAGCAGCCACAATGAGCGAAACCCTCGGCCAAGCGTCTTCACTGAACGTCACAGGAAGGGTTGGTTGGCCCAGGAGTTGAGCGGCCCCACGGATAACGAGGGGGTAGATTAGGTAGCTGAACCCGATTAACCCGACGCTGGTCCAAAGGCCGGCTATCGCAATCGCGTCAATCATGGTTCGACTCCGCAACCGAACGCTCTAACGGCCGCGCAGGCACCCCGACGACCGTTGCACCTGCGGGCGCGTCACGCACGACAACTGCGTTGGCGCCAACCTTGACGCCGTCGCCGAGACGCACGGGGCCGATCACCTTGGCCCCAGCGCCGATGAAAACGCCGCTCCCCACGATCGGTGACTCCTGGCGTTCGGCGCCGATCGTTACCTGGTGCTCAATGTGAACGCCACTTCCGCCACGAACACTGCTGTTGATAACGACGCCGTTAGAATGGATCAAAACAAACCGTCGTCCGAAGTCAGCCCGCCTGCCAATGACACACCCACCCAGTAGGTTATTAAGCTTCCCGATTACCATTGCAACCGGCGATAGCCTCCAGCGGGTCGCTTGCTGCATACAGCGATAGAGGATCATGGCGAGGCTGCCGTCGGTGAGAGTCGCCTTGACCGTGTTTCGGAACGTGCTTGATCCGTACAGCCATTCCGCCTTTGCGCGGATGTCTTCAGCAATCCATACGATCGGCGCGCCTTTATCGGGAGGGGATGGGTTCATCACTTTCCGGAAGACGCCCTCAGATGCGACGACAGCAGGGCTTCGACCTGCTCGTAACGAGCCCTCCAACTCTGGGCGGCCATGCGGCGGCTCCGCTCCCTAGGCGTTGTCGAGTCCTCCAGCGCCGCCCGCGCCGCTTGGACGAATCCCTCGGGACCATCCCCTATAAAGCAGCTGCCAATAGATTCCACCTCTGGGATGCTAGTCGAAACAACCGGTAAACCTGCTGCGAGGTACTCGCGAACCTTCAACGGATTGGCCGCCCGTGTCAACTCCGTCAGTGGGAATGGCAACAGAGCTGCGTCGAAACCTTTGCAGTAGCGCGGAAGCTCGGCGAAGGGTTTCTGACCTAACACTTGGACGTTGGAACGTCGGGAGACGCTTCCGAGGTCCATCGTCGATTTGCCAATCAGTACAACCGATCCTTGCGGCCACTTGTCTGCGATAGCTTCGATCAACGAGCAATCGAACCAGTCATGACTCATTAAGCCGAAGTAACCAAAGACCGGCCCGGGTAAATCAGCGACTTCCGACGCGACGGTGAGGTTTTCCTCGAGCGTCGTGCGGAAGTGATCGTACGNNTCGTCTTCGTCTCGCATAGAGGAGCGGTGGAAGCAACGACCACATCCGCCCTCGTCAACAATTGATCTTCCAACTGACCAACCGCTTCGTGATCGACCCCTTCGATATGGAGGTAATCGTCGACGCAATAGTAGACTAGCAGGCTCTCCCCTAGCCGCCCCGCCACCGTCGAAGCGGTGGGATTGAACACCCAGTTGATCGGTTCCACAAACCCAAGCTGACGCATCGCTCCGCGGACCTGACGAGCGAGAGCGTATCGGCTGATCGATCCTAAGGCAGAAGAACCATATGCAGGCAACACGAGCGGACTTAGTGTCCAGATGTTGTCTTCAACACGTTTGAGCCGTTCTCGCGCTACGGCGCGAAGTTTCTGCGCCACGCGACGCATATCGCGGGCGTTGACCTTCGGGGCACGGTATCCGATCGAATTGACCCACAACACACGGTGCCGTTCGGCAGCAAGACGCATGAGGTGATTCTTCGACAAGGGGTCTCCGCCCCAGTCGTGTGAGAAGCAAACGATGTCTTGCGGCGGTAACTTCAAAGTGGGTAGGCGGGTACGGGAAAGGTGATACTAGAAGACACTCTAGTCGGGACAGCGACGCGGCACGTTATAGCGTCGTATGGCAGCACTCGTCTGTATCAAATCCCATTGCGCATGTCCTCGATACGATCGAGTAGTTTGCCCAGCCCGAAGTATCCCGCGACAGATTCGACCGCAGCACGTCGACGATTCTTATTACGCCAACTTCCCGCGACTATGCCGACCTTCTCTGGCGGAGAGTTGAGTAGCTTACGCCAATCACTCGCTATCGTGTCACCGCCGTAGAGACGCAACGCCTGTTCGCGCCCACGCATACCCAGCGCGCGTAGTGCTTGAGTATCGTTCAGCAATTCCGTAACAGCATGAGCGATAGTCGCCTCATCCGGGCTATTGAGTAGTGTTGCTGCACCAGTTTGCCCGGCCGTCTCCGGCAATGCGCCTCTGGCGACGCCTACTACCGGCAATCCAGCGGCCACCATCTCGACAACGGCACAACCGAAAGTCTCTGCGTCAGTCGACCAATTCAGGTTACATAGCCCTAATGCCGAATGTGAGTATAGCTCGCGGAGTTCTAACGGCGTCAGCAGACCGGCAAATTCGACGCCCGCCTCATCGAGTGAGCCGTATCGATCAACGAGGGGTTGAACATACCTTGCCTCGAATTCCGGAAGGGCGACGCCAAACGCCCCAAGCCCAGCGTTAGAGTCGTAGAGACGGGGAGAACCAGCGACAACGAGTTGCGACCCTGGTGCAGAATCACGCACGCGCGGCCAAAGCTGCAATACACGGTGGGCTCCCTTGTGCTCGTTGACAGCGCCTGCAAACACCACTCGCTTAGAAGCATACGACGCATCGCTTCTCCGAGGGATCTCAATAAATATCGGGTGTATAGGATTGTACATACGTGCTACGCGGCGCACACAACGGCGACGAAGAGCATGAACCCGCGCAGTGTCGGAGGGCACAATAACTGCTTCCAAGTCGCCGGCGTCGAGCGCCACCAGATGGTGACGATCAAGATACGTGTGCAACCATACATAGGGCGTAACACCTCGCCCAACCAGCTGCTTCAAACCATCACTGTTGCCCCAACTGCAGTACACCACTCTCCCAGCTCCAACCCACTCGAGCGCCTCATCAAGTGAATTGACAACAAGGACAGGGGACCCCGTTAATCGGTCGCCCCGCAAGATCGTTACAGCGACGAACTCATCTAACTCGGACAATGCTTTCAGAACCAGAAGGAAAGAGCTTCGAGAGCAGCTCATCCCTACCTTACCCTCCCATACATCCGGGGCATGCAATTCCGCTGTCGCTAGATCATCAATGACAAAGAGAGTTCTTGACATGCAATCCTACCGCAAGGTGTGCACCACTATCTGTGATCCACTAACGGAGCCACCGCCGCACAAGGTGTTAAATGGGCAGTAGCGTAGTCACAGTTGGCCGACCGCATCGCTTTCGAAGCATTTTCGTTCAACAGGCGATCGGCGACTCCGATCAACTCGTCTAAATCCCCGAACGATGCGTAGTTGACACCCTCCCGAAGCGGACGAGACAACTCGTTGCGGATCGGGTCGGTGACGATCGCTCCCGAAGACAGCAAGTATTCCGGCAGCTTGAATGCCACCGAATGGTGCAAGCCGCGTGTGTAGGCCAACACGCCACAGCTTCGTACTAGCTTAGCAAAGTCTCGCCTCTTCGTGGACAAGTTGGTTAGCAGGTCAGGGTACTGCTCTTCAGCATAACGAGTGGGCACAAGCCCACCCACAAAGCGACTCTTGAAGTAGGCTCTCAACCTCCTGACCGATTCGCTCCGTATGCCGTTGATCTCTTCGGCGTGGTCTGGCGCTACTTCGGAAGGCTCCCAGACCCGTGTCTGGAAAAGCACACTCTCTTGTCGCGGCGTGCTGGGCGATTCCTTAAACTCCGCTAGCGTCGGTAGCGAGGCGTAGGTGCGGAAGACATTGCGTTGCTCAAACAGTCGCCTAGCTACTCGAGTGGGCGCCCGAAACCCGCGCTGCGTGACCTGGATCATCACCGAGCGGGCCAGCAGGCGGTCGACTCGCTTGTTACGGCAAGCGTAGTTCATCCCGAAGGGACGAACCTTCCGCGCGTTTTCGTCAGCAATGGTCGCAACGTGAGGCTCGTAGAAGCTCCGTTTATAGTATCGGTCGCACCACTGGAGCGTTGGCGAGTCGAACGTGTCGCTACGGTCAAAAAGATCGAGCGCCACGCGATGCTCTTGATCTCCATGCACGACGAGCATTCGAGCAACCATGCCACCTGTCGCGGTGGCGTCTAGCTCGCAGCCACCTTGCATCCGCCAATCAAGACGGATGCGGCCTTCGGCGGCCAAACCCGTCAGGCCCGCATATAGCAAAGAAAGGTGATAGTGATTGTTGGCAAGGTCGAATGCGTAACTGACTTTCGGCGCGTCCAGCGCCGTGACTGACTCAAACACGGCAACCCCCAGCCCGGGCATGGAGGACGCCTTCTAGCACTTTGGCGAGGTCGGATGCCGAATCCCGGAAGCTGCGGAACGGCGACTGCTCGCCAACGACTCGATTCTCTTCTAGATAGGGTCGCAGTGCGTCTGCTAGGGCTTCCGGCTTGTCGGCCGGCGCCAGCGTGGAGGGTCCAAGATGGGCAATTTCCCGAATTCCCCCGACGTCAAAGGCGACAAAGGGAGCGCCGCACGCAGCGGATTCCAACAAGACGTTGGGCACTCCTTCGGAATGGCTAGGCAGACATACAACGTTGGCCGCCCTGAACCAATTCGGCAGCTCTGCATGTTCCCTTGGCCCATGAAAAGTAACTTTCTCGCTTACCCCTAAGTCTATCGCTAACTCTTGCAGTCTCGCTTTTTCGGGTCCGGCGCCCACCAGATGGACATGAAGTCGCTCAGTCGATTGTACGAGATCAGCGGCTGCCGAGAGAAGACGGTCGATACCCTTCACCGGAACGAGATTGCCGACAAACAGAATCGCCGCCTGTTCTGGCGGAATGCCGAGCGATTCCCGAGCCTCTTGCTTCGATCCGGGGGAAAAGATGCTAGTATCCACTCCGTCATACACAACGTTAACCTTCGCTTCGTCAACACCAAGCTTCACGACTTCACGACGGAGGTGGTCGCTCACTGCCACGACGCCATCGGCCGCCCGGAGACCCGCCGCCGTCTTGCCGGCGCGTCCCGAGAAAGCGTTCATTTGTAACACATCTGAACCATGGACTTTAATA